AACCCTAACCCTAACCCTAACCCTAACCCTAACCCTAACCCTAACCCTAACCCTAACCCTAACCCTAACCCTAACCCTAACCCTAACCCTAACCCAATAAAGACGAACTCTACAAGCTAGAGGATCTAGATCTTACTCAACTACTTTAGGAAGAAGAGCAATAATTAATTTAAACGCTAGATATTCCGCCACTTCCACAACAAGAAGAAGAGGATATTAAAGAACCTCTTATTCTAGGCTAAACTACCGTTGCCCTAGGACGACCTCGTAGCTTAGGATAGATACTAGAAACTTAAGAATAATTATTAGATTAAACTAATCTAGGATTCCCGACCCTAAGCCTAACAGAAGACTCAATTCCCTTACAAGAATACTCCTTTTTAGAACTAGAGCCCGAAACCTAACCAGCTTAATCATTACTACCGCCTCTTTTACCCGTGTAATATAATACCCTAGCTCTAGCAGGTACTTCTCAAGGCAACAGAGTACCTCGCGCAAATTAGATTTCAGGCAGGATAACTACAGACAATATCCTACCTAAGGGGGTAAACGACGGAAGACGGAGATCTAACAGAAAATAAGCTTATTCCGCAGCACTCACAGAAATCTAGGAAACTCTAAATACTCTATTCTTTACCGCTTTTACAGCAGGACTTAACATCTCTAAAGATCTTCTAAACTCGAACAGAATTCACAGAGATCAACTACCGCCTAAACTAACTACCTTTAAACAAATACTCAAGCATCCCGAAGCTTAAGGCTTTATTACAGCTCTCAAGTTCGAACTTCGCAGTCTCACAAAACTCAACACATAGAAATATATCAATCGCAGCACAGCTACCCAAGCAAACAAGAAAGTCATTCCGCTCACATAGGTATTCAAGTACAAATTCGACACTAAAGGATATCTCATCAAATACAAAGCAAGACTCTACGTTAGAGGTAATTTACAGATCACAGAACAAGATACCTACGCAGCAACCTTAGCAGCACGTACCTTCAGATATCTTATAGCAATCACAGCCGCTTTCGATTTAGAGACAAGGCAGTATAACGCAGTTAACGCTTTTATCAATAGTCCTATCGACGAAGACACCTACTACGAACTCCTAGAAGGAATCTATCTACTCGAAGAATACTAAGACATTCAACCAGGTCTTATCCTTCAATTACTAAAAGCCCTATACGGACTCAAACAATCGCCGGCACTTTAGCACAACTATCTCTCAGCAACTCTACATAATCTTAGACTCTCTCAGGTTCTAGGAGTCAACTATCTCTTCTAAAATAATTTTATACTACTATTCTTCTTCGTCGATAATATTACAGTCATCTATTCTTAAGAAAACGAATCCTACGTCCTATAATTCCAGCAGAAGATTCTCGATATCTATAATCTTCGAATTCTAGGAGAACTCAAATAGTTTCTCGCAATTAGGATTATTCGAGATAGGCCTTAGAGAAAGCTTTAGCTCTATTAAGATTCCTACATTAACAAGCTAGCAAGCAAATTCAACGCTAACTTAGAGAAATATCCGCAAACACTATTACCCGTAGAAGATATTTAAGCTTCGACTTCTTAAGCTTCAGACCAGGAGATCTATACCTATTAATAAAGAATTAGATCGATCAACTTCGCTATAGTTATTACTAGGCCAGACATCGCCTAGGCCTCTAGCAAGCTCGCAGAACACCTAAAAAATCCGTCTTAAAGATACCTACAGCTAGCTAACCGCGTGATTCAATATCTCGTTAGGACTAAACATCTAGCAATCGAGTTTAGTAGAATCTACAATAACTAACAAAGCGTATTCCTCGCATATAGCGATACTTTATTTACAAACGACCTAGATACGAGAAAGTCTTTACAAGGATACGTCTTTTAGCTGTTCTAAAGACCGATCGATTAGAAAGCTACAAAGCAAAGAACGGTCACGACCTCTAGTATAGAAGCCGAATTTCTATTACTATCTATAACTACGAAAGAACTCCTTTAGTAGGAGCGTCTCTTCCAATAAATTTAATTTAGTCTAGACCATTACCTTTTCATCCAGTACGACAATAGGTAAACTATACGTCTACTCGAGGAGTCTACACCTAAACTCGTTACAAGGCTTCGATATATTAATATCTATCAGCATTAGTTACACCAGGAAATTTAGAACTAATATATCAAACTTTAATAGACTCTATCAGCCGAGATAGTCGCAGATAGTCTAATAAAGGCCTTACCAACGCAAAGATTCTAATAGTTTATCAAACAGCTAAACCTTAGAAATATTAAATATCTTCTCTTAAGTACGGAATAGCGAATATTCCTTTACCACATTAAATTAGATTATTTTCTTTAGTTTTTTCTCAAACCCTTTCGGATTTTCTTATTCATCTCAGAAGCTTATTTCTTTTATCATAATAAGCATCAAATTGCCCATCATAAAGGGGGTATATTAGCTAGGATTACTCCGATAACTCTCGTTTATCAGCCCCATTATTTAGTTATTACACAACAGCCTTACCCCTGCACTACTCATTTACCACTACTAAAGAGAAAACGTATTCTTTTAGATAGCAGTATATATACCTCTATAGGTAATAGTAATCTAGAAGGACAAGCGGCGTCTAATTCCTCGCGCCCAGCTTCACAACGCTTTAAGATAAAACAACCCGAACTTTAAGGATCTTTTCTCTAAAATAAAGAATATTACGGCTACTATCTAATTTCTTAAATCTACTAAGGTTACTACGCGCTTATAGTACCTTACCGACGCCTCTAACGAGGTATAAAAACGTCGAGCACGTCTACTCCTTTTCTTTCCTACTTTTATGTTTTTAGCCCTCGAAGGCGAACCGTTGCTTGTACCTACCTAGATCTAGCTATAGGGTGAAAACCCCTCCCTAGCTACTTTTCTTTCCTAGACCTAGCTTTAATAGCTCGTCTTTAATAGTCCCCGACTCTAAAAGGACGTTAAACCTAAATAAATAAATAAATAAATAAATACTATCCGCTCCCGTTACCTTCCTTTTTCCTCCCAGATTGACAAATCACATGTAAACTAGTAGCAAAACTCTTGAATAGTCGTAGCCTACATATCGCTCAGGGCGATAGGTCAGGGTAAATAATACAACTCAACTCAATCATTTAGGTTAGAGGCGCGATTAAGCACTTAAAACCTATTCAGCAACGAGGCAGAAAAGAGAGTTGATTGTGTATCGAGTAATGAACGATTCTGGGTACGCAATACCTATACATCTTTGTTTCACACTTTACAGTACACCTATATCCTCGCCCATGCCCATAGCGAAATCCGACTTTACCAATTATACAGGACATTCTTACGATCATGGTAAGAGAAAAGATCTTTCTGTATAAATCCTTCATCGTTCTCCCTCTTTACTATAGCCTCGGGCTACTCTAATGCGACAAGGATATCCGTTTGCCGCATGACCGCCGCCAGCACCACTCTCAACCTGGTACGCCCGCTCGCCCAACACAGTGTTAATCCGTTCACCCCGGGTCGGATATAGACGATCCCATTCGTCGTATGCAGGCTGGATATCAAACTGGCGAATGCTCATTGCCAGCACGGTTTTCAGTTCGGCCAATGCCAACGTCTGGCCGATACAGTTGCGAGGCCCGAACTCAAAGGGCCGCCATGCACCTTTTACCGGATGCATCGGGTCGCCGTCTGCGGCAAGCCAGCGATCCGGGATAAATTGGTTTGGAGAAGGCCAAGTATCAGGGTTGAGGTGAATTGCATGGTGGACGTTCCACACGTTGCAGCCTCCAGTTGGGTAGCGGGTCCCGTCCTTGCCAACTAAGATCATGTTAGGAGCACCTACCCGCATACTCCCCGCTGGAGGATACAGACGGAGTGTTTCTTTGATACATGCGGTTGTGTAAGGAAGCTGGTTGAGAAGTGCGGGGCTGTTAGACAAAAGATCGCCAACGTCGTCAGCATCTGTTCCTGAGCCAAAAACCCGGTCATGCTCAGCGCGGAGGCGAGCTAGGCAGTCGGGGTTTTTGGTGAGCAGGTGGTAGACGTAGGTCATAGTGCCAGCGGTTGTGTCGTGGCCAGCAAAGAGAAAGAGCCGGATTTGCGCGCACGCGTAGCGCTTAAATGTGTCGTCGAGAGACTCGGTGTCATCAGGGATATTGAGAAGCTTTGACTCTTCCATGTACGCGTCCAATGCGAGGTTAACGATGGATTTGACATTTTCAGCTTTATGTTTCAAGCTCCGCGATTTCCGTCGCTCGCGGAAGCACTTCTCCAGCTCTGCCGTGATGTAGTTATTAATCTTGCGTCCGTTGTACCAGATCTTTAACGGGCGGAGAGGGTTCCAGCGTTTCAATGGATTGAACTCGGTGTTTATAGAGGTCCATTGGATGAGCTCGCGAAATCTGTCTGTGATCGACGAATTTGGAAAGTGAGTGTCCCTGGTTTGTTCATGTTAGCTGCTATCTCTACAAGAGTGAATCTTCTCCTTAGCGAACTTACAAGGTCACTACGCTGATTATGTCCAGAGTTAACTTCATTGTATCCTTTTCCAAGCAAAATATCTGACCATCGCGCGCATGGTTACTCATTCTCCTGCAGAACATACGGCACTCATTGACGATCCTTGACGTTTGCTGTAGTATAGAGCTTGAGCTGAAACCGGGATTGAAGATAGGCCGCCAACGCTTCCATGCTGCTTCGGACATGGCGAGGAGATTCGGACCACCGGTAACGTTTGCGAGGGCATCTACGAGAACAGGAGGTTTCTCCAAATAAGATGGCTGGGCAATTTGTGACGCCATGTCTGGGGTCGTGACGACGAGCACCGGATTGCTAATCGGCCAAAAGTCAAGATAGAATGCCTCGGTCTTCATTGTTTCAAAAGCCATCTTAGCAACAGTGTGATGGATCACGACATCTGGTGGTAGTTTTGCCATAGTATCCTTAATAATGAGCATGTGGCCGGCGATTGGGTTGAGCGGAGGCATTGGCTAGACAGAACGTTAGGCTTTGATGCGTTAATGATGGTGCAAATCGAAGGTCATACCAAACGCATTTTGCGCAGACGATACATGAACTTGCGGGCATTGTAGGCTCTGAAGATGACATAGAAAACTGCGCTGGCGATGGCAACAAGTAAAGACGTAGATAAGTGCGACATGGTGGCGGCAAGTTATGCAGCCGGACGGCGTGTGTGCTTAGACTGAGTGGAAGTGTTGCAGAATTACTTGAAAGTGAGCAGCAGGACAAAGTTCTGTTATTCCCGCATGCAAAATCGCGGTGAGGTTTCCTTAAGACAAATCGGTGACAGGGGTGTTCCATGCGGCGTTGCGGCGTTGCGGCGTTGCTGCGTTTGCTTGGAATCTTGACCCGTACAACCCACCATGGCGGCACGCTCACTTTTCCCTTCCGGTCTCTTCCTCGCTTGATCGAAGCGCCCGCCACCACTTGCGCGGCGTACCTTCCACGGCTGCATCCTCCATTCCTTCGCCTCTGTTGAAGGCCATGCGAAAAGCTGCGAGCGACCCCACTATGACAGCGACACACGCCTCGATGTGCTGCCAAAAAACTAAAAAGACGCTGTCCAGGTGGACGCTCTTAACGGTCAATCCAACAACGAGCCGCATTATGGCAATGATGATCATGGCCAGCGATAGTGATAATACAGCTGCAAACGCCAGCTTTCGCTGCCGGCTCATGCGCATGTGATAGATGATAATAACCGGGAAACTGATAACTATGCGGGTATTAGCTCCTGTCCAAGTTCCTGAAGACCATGGGTAGAAAAACACCAACCCAATATGTCGGTGATAACGTCAACAGCCGTCGTGCCGATTAGCGTTCCGAGTGCCCTCGATTGGCTTCCGACGTCGGGGCATTTCTCAAAACCCTCTCTCCCATAATAGGGACAGTTTATGAAGTTTGAGGATGCTATAAAGACCAATGAAGAGCCCGTAAATACGATGACGCACCAGAAGTAGGTTTTGAGCTTGGGTGAGATATTCTGGACCAGCTTGGAAAAGTACGCCAGGAAGGAAAACTTGACCGCAGTAATGGCAATCCAGTTCAGTGGCGTATTAATCGAGCTTTTCTTGTTAAAATCCAGCATCGACGTGATCTCGCCCGCAGACAAAACAATCTTTGTAGGCATATTTGTTAGAGCACCCAACAGGTACAACTCCGTCATTTCCCAGTACAGTATGCCCAAGGATACCGTGAGGCATACTGTCGCGAAAAGGAGTATATAGTCGTCGAGTAAAAGGCATCGCATGTCCTGTATTCGAATTTTAATGCGGGCGGCGACAGCTACAATAGCGAGACCCGTGAAGAGGCCAATGTTAACCTATCACAAACTGTATTTAGAAAAAGATATCTTTAGCTATGGAAAAGGAATCGGGACAAACCTCAAACGCTTTTCTACTAATAACACTGCTATGGTCGATTGCCAACTGTCGGTCTTCGACATACTGTTTCTCGTTAGGAGTGAACTGGAACTCCATCATTTTTTTATTATTATTATTATTATTATTATTATTATTTTTTTTTATTTTTTTTTTTTTTTTTTTTTTTTTTTTTTCCTCGTGTGGACAGTGGAATTAATAAAAAATTTTTCCAATGACTAGATGATAATCTCTCTAAACGAGGAGCAGATAGAGAGTTTTATATACCTAGTGACAGATGTCCTTTTCTTTACTTACGTGTTGACCTCTACATCCTGGAACTCGATTCCATGCGCGTAGGCTTATTTCTGAGTCGGTAGCGAATAAAATGTTTAAAATTACCGGTGAGAGCTATCTCTAAGTGGGCCAGTAGCGTAGTAGTCGCGCGGCTAGAGAAGGTGACTGATATAGCTTGACGAATAAGGTCTATCTCTGCATGGAACACGGGGCGCGACGGCCATCCCGTCACACGAGTTCTAGGCCGATAGCATTTGATAATAACTCGATGTCCCCGTTTGGACGCAGGATGCACATGTGCCCTGGGCAAGCCTTGGCTAAGCGCGTGTTGCTGCTGGCGCTGGCCACGATGACGCTAGATTCCGATATGGAATCACGGCGACAGACGTGGAGATGCGCTTTGTCAACTTCGGTCGGGGCAAACAGGCGCTAAAAGGGAAGATGCCGATTTTCATCAGACGGCGGCGCAGTAGCGAGATGCGGAAAAGTAAAGGCCTATCTACGCAACAAAACCGAGCGGGAGGCCCGGGCCGTATAAGTTCCTCTCCTTCTCTAGGGTTAGGCCGATGCATGAGTTCCTCCATAAAAATGGGGGCTCTAAAATTAAGGACTTACGCAAGCTCGTTACTTTAGGTGGTAATATCTCCAGCCCAGGCTTATCCCGAATAGGAAGGTACATTTCACGCACTCCGATGACCTACCATCCCCGTCTTATGCAAATAGCTGTAACGCGCTTTGTATCATCTACGCTATTTCAAGAGGAAATGTAGTAGTTTTGGCTTTATTGAGGCGTACATTTCGTTTGCCGTCTGTAGGACGTTTTTATTTTGCTGACTTGCGCGCGTGCCGAAAAGATGAGAGGTTTTACGCCCGACAGCTTCGAATACTAGTTCTATAGATAGTACTTGGAGACATACTGTCGAGTGTAAGAGTACTCTTTAGTAACTGAAGCGCGAGGTGTTTTGCGGGAAAGGAAAAATAGAATGACATTGCGGATTATAACCTGGATATGTATTCGATTTCGTGTCAAAATTGCTTACTTACCGACAGTTTATTTACTGTAACACTAATCATTCTGGAAACTTACTAGGGCCCCTGCTAACATTTTCAAGCGTAAGCCGCTGCCCATCATCCTCCCACCCTCGCATAGAAATAAGCTTGAAGCCCCATTCCACTCTGCCTCTTCCGACTGCTTGTATCGAGACTCGAGAGGAAGGTATCACCGTCACTTTACAACAAGCCATTCCTACATCGTTTTGCCGACTTCCCTCCAGCTACAGGCGACAAACAGCATCTAGTCGCAACCATGGAGCCTGCGTCGATGATCTCGATGGTAGGGGCTTGCCTGACACTGGTGACACGAACGGTGAAAGACGTCAATGAACTATTAAGCAAACTCCGCAGCAAAGATCAGAAACTCGTTCTGATTACGGCGCGATTAAACACTGTTAAAGCTACGATATCACATATCGAAACTTGGCTGCGCAGTGATGGTGCCGCTAGCATTCAAGAGCTCGAAAATGATTTGCGTAATGCTATCGCTGCCTGTAATGTTGTTGTTACAGAAATCCAGCACTATGTTGCCAACGCCGAAAGGGGCTGGCTAAAAGGGAAGCTAAGATACATTTGGGATGAGGCACAGCTTTTGCAGTTCTCAAATGCGTTGGATAGCCAGATCACGGCAATGGGGCTTTTTGTCAACGTTATACTACTGTAAGTCACGCTGGGTCTAGTTCTACTCCTATATGCCGCTTTCGTTACGCTGACCTGTGCACTCTTAGCAACTCAAATACACAGCGCTGTATTGTTCTTGACAGTGCGGCCAGTCGGCGCACATTGCGCGAAGCTTGCGATAAAGCATCCTTATACACTAACCAACGACAAAGCCTTTCCTTAGGATCCGATGATAGCAGCACAAAATATCGCACCGCCGGCACCCCTGAAACAGGAAAATCTCTGTTTACGTTCGACAACGAACTTATCGACTCCGACACGTACCGGTCAGCCTTCCGCAGAATTATGAGCATTGGCACACAAGCTGGCAGCGACGTTGTCGGGATGGACCTAAGAGATATAGAAGAAGGAGCTAGGCGAGGGCCATCTGCATCTACGGCCACTTCAACAATATCGGATAGAGGAAACAGTAGTATCTTTACCAGGGCAACCGGCTCCACCGATTCATCAGCATCAACCAGTTCCACCCGTTCTTCTTTCAACAGCACGTTCAGCGGGGACTTGAAGAAGTTTTCGCGGTTTAGCAGTTGGTCAATCAGGTCAGGCCAGCAGTCACGCACTATTTTGAAAGAGGTATGCCTGGCCGCAGCCGCGGGGAATATTGCAGCGATAGAAAGACTGTGCAACGAAGGGTGCGACGTAAACGGCAGATATGAGATACCAAGCAACCCCAGAATGCAAACTGAAATGGAGCGAGGAACTTCAATCAAATCCATTCTTCAACGTGGCTCAGACCGGACTCCTCTCCACTATGCGTCAGAACACGGCCACGCAGATGCCATTCGCGTCCTGATTGCCCGCGGTGCAGACATTACCGCCAGAGCTAAAGGAGGCAAAACCCCACTACACGTCGCAGGAGGAGACGAGGAAGTAGTCGAGGCATTGATATCTCTGGGGTCCGATATGACAGCCGAAGATGACACTGGTGCCACGCCACTCCACACTCTCGCCATGGCTGGGCAGACAGCCGGCATAAGAACACTTTTGGATGCCCGTTGCCCTGCTCATTCTATCGACAAGGCACAGAGTACGCCTCTTCATCTCGCCTGCCGCCGGCCAAACAATGCAAGCGCTGTCTCGACTCTCCTCTCCGCCGGCGCATACGTCAATGCACCCGACGCAGAAGGCGTAAGACCTTTGCACGAAGCTTGCCAGTACGGAAACGTAGAACTCATCCAGCTACTAGCCACTGCTGGCGCCGACCTGGAAGCTCCGGCCAAAGACCTCTGGCGCCCCTTACACTACGCCGCCGCTTACAACCCCCCATCTTCCACGGCCCCTTCTCCCATCACCAAGCTCCTCTCTCTTTCTGTTAACCCTACCACCGCAACTACACACGGCGAACACCCCCTACATCTCGCTGTTGCCGCTGCAAATATTACCGGCGCCTCCGCCCTTCTCTCTGCCGGCGTCCCTATCGATGCCGAAACTATAGAGGGCAAACGCCCACTACACATCGCATTCCAACCACAGAACGTGGTCAATCAGCCAACGACGTCCATCGTCCGCCTATTGCTTGAGCGCGGTGCTAACCCAACAACTGCAGCCGGAACCAACAAACGTTCAGAACCTCCGCTCGTGTCTGTTTGTGGAACGCTAATGTCAACGGGCGGACACGCGACTGCTCCGATAGTATTACCACTGGTCGAGTTGTTGTTGGAATTTGGTGCCGCAGGCGAGCAGGGAGAAATTGCGGGCTTAGCCTTGTTGGCGGCATGTGAGGGGCGAAACAACGGCGGCAACAGCAGTAGTGTATCTCAAAGTAATCGGAGTAATGGCAAAGTTGGTGGGAGCAGTCGCGCGCAAGGAGGAGCATTGCTGGACGTGGTGCGGTTATTGATAGGCCCGCGAGGAGGGGCTCGGCCGACGCATAAGGTCTTTAGGGCACTATGGCGGAATAGTAGAGTGGGAGTTTGGGAGAAAAGGGCGGTGCATGCGGTGTTAAATGAGGTTGCGGAGCCTAACTTAAGGAAGGATGAGGCAGAATGGTTAATTGTAGCACTGTAGTTGGGACAAAGGCAGAAAATAAAGATAGGGGCGCGAAGGAACTACTGTATTTTGTCTTAGAGACTTGTAAACGGTAGAAAAAGAAATGCGACGGTTTTATCATATGTAGGCGTCGCTTAAATAGACGGGCGGGGTTACGTAGCCTTCCGATCAATAATACTCCATCGCTACCCGGAGTCTCTTCGGATAGCGAGGACCTTCACGTAAGCAACACTAGTAAATACCTCTACCTACTTACTACTAGGTGGGCCGGCACGGCTATACAGCTACTAACTATATAGTAAACGCCTTAAAATCTAGAACGATCTAGTCGATTCGTTCCTATTCCGGTTATGCTATAACACACGGTAGTATAACCGTCGCCCGACTCCGGCCGATTTAACTATACCTCACCTTATATTACTAGTAACGTAAGCTAGAACTATTTATCCTTATATTAATCCTAATCTCCCTATCCCTATCTAAATATTCCTCCTTACTCATGCCTACGAGGAGAATATTCCTCGCTCTACTCGCGTTCGCCTTTTTAATTCCTCTAATTTCTATACTATACTCGAGACTTACGAGCACTATTATAAGCGGAACTACCTAATCTAGCTACGCAATAAGACACGCTATTATCGTCAGCTCCGGTCTTACTAGTCTAACAGCCTCGTCTACTCTTCTTTCTAAAAACATACCGGTCTACCTTCTCGAACGTCTTCCGAAGCCGGGCGGAAATAGCATTAAAGCTTCTAGCGGTATTAATAGCGCGCCGATAAGATACTAGTCGGTTTCCGATAATCTTTTCTACGACGATACTATAAAGTCCGCCGGTATAGTAATAGGCAAGATACGTTCGTAGAGAGAGAGCCTAATTTAAACTTTAACTAAAAAGAGCCTAGAAGCTATCTACTAGCTATTAGACGAGAAAGGCGTAGACCTTAGTAAAGTCGTAATACTAGGTAGGTATAGTATCCCGAGGACTTATAGAGGAGCGGGCTAAACGCCTCCCGGAGTAGTAATCGTAACGATATTACTAAAATAGCTAAACGAGGATCCGAACTTCACGCTCGAGATAAACGCTTTAGTAACAAAGGTCCTATAATCAGGGTGCGGAATCGTCTAGCCTTATTACCGTCGGTCTAAATAAATAGACGGAACGCTAGTCTACGGTCGCGACGGTACCTCGTTTAGCGTGCTAAGAAGTAGTTCGTCCCGACGAAGCTTAGTTTAGGGGGACGGCGGTAGACGGTAGTTGTATAAGGGTTTACTAGTATACCGAATATCTAATAGTGTTAAGGGGTAAACGCTACTTATAGTTACCTAATTAGGCTTAGTATTAGGGTTAGAGGTACGTACGCGAGGGTCTCGCCCCTCGTACGGCTGCTAAGCTAACTACCGAATACTACCGAATGTCTCCGAAGCTTCGATTTATATAAATCTTTCTTAACACTACGCTCCTTATAAGGCCTATATCCCGGCGGTCCTATTATAGTCTGATTTAGCAGGCCTAGGACCACCTTTAGAAAATTTAACAACCCCGCTAGTCCGCCCGCAACCGATTTACAATAGCATTCGTTAAAGAGACCCCGGATAACGCCGCCGAACGTACCTCCGCTAGCAGCCTTACATCCGAACTATCGAATATTACTAAACTATACCGCTAGAGCGACCTCCTATTAATATATATTAGCCGCCTACGCGACGTTAATAGATCTATCTTCGACCCGACGCTTACTAAAGGCTTCACGATAATTCGACTTACTCTACTATAGCGCCGCAGGCGCAGGTCGCCTATCTAGGAGTATAGTTTCTTAGTAACTAACCCCGTAATAGACGAATATTAGCTCTATAAACGGTGCTACGCGAATAGCCGGCACAAGGCTTATAAAATAATAACTACTAGCCACCCTACTAGGCATATTCGTAGCTATAAGGGCGGGTACACGTCTAGTAGGTCGCCTACACCCGCCGAAGAGGCCTCTCGTCGGATCAATAAGATACGTTATAGGGCACGTATTATTAAATAGATAGTCCTTACGAACTAGACGTTTCGCGGAGCAACCTACCTAAGCCACCTAGCTATTCTATAGTCAGTTGCTAAGGATATCGACGTTTCTCCTACCTATCGACTATCTAATAAAACGCTCCGCAAGCTTATTATTTAACTCTTTAAGGACGCTCGTTATTACCTAGCGTAGTAGATAAAGTACGCGCTAAGCGATATCAATATCAGTATGGATAGGTAGACCTCAACTAACGATTTACCGTTATTAGCAGTATATACTTACTATATCGATGCTAGAGGCAATTATTAGTCACCCCTACTCGCTCTAGCATTAATCGATAGCCTATACACTAGCGTCAACCTTACGAACGTTATATTAGGGGTATTCAAACAGTACCGAATTAGTAATCGAATGTAACGAGGCCTCTTCAGCCTAGGCGTTGGAATTGCCTAGCGGGTGAATAGGTTCGAAGGGTTTACCTTGATTGATTGATTGATTGATTGCTATTTAACGTCCGGCGGGTCTACGCGCGGTTCGACTATGTACTTGCCACCGTGTGCCCTGTAGCCTCCCTAGGGGCATAGGACGTGCCACGCTGCCTACGGCTTACGCTGTTAGGGTGGCATATCGCGGACGAAGCGTCTCTGTAGGCTCTTTTCGCAGTGAGTTTTCCTCTAACTCCTGCTCGTGTGTCTTCTTTGCTAGGGTGCTGGGCCTTTAAGGCTAGAAAGGGAGAAAGAAATAAATGTAAAGACAGGAAAGAAGAGAAAAAAGGTAGAAGGACGGGTCTTTTCGTTAAATCCCCGCTAAAGGGGGT